AAAATAATTTTATGGCTAACATGGGAAATTACCTTTAAGTTGGATTTTGAAACTTTGATAATCAAATTGTAATAGAAAATTAAAAAAAAAAAAAAATCTTCAAAATTATTTGTAACATATAGCATAATCTAAAAACTAAAATAATAATAATTTAGTTTCCTGTCTTATTTTAAAATATTAATGATGAAATTATAATAAAAAAATTTAAACTCTAACATAGAAAATAGTACAAAAACTGATAGAATCAGTTTACTTTCTAGAACTCCCAAGCCTAATGCTCACAATTTACCTGAATCCACTGTTGCCCAGTTACTCTTACTCATGTCTCCATAGACCACAGTCGAACTCATGCATCAGATTTGTGCAGCTATGATCTTTACTGAGACGATTTTGGGTTAAGGCTCTCTACGTGATACTTGATTTAGTGAACTTGCCATCATAAGAACCGATTGAGAAAACTCCACGAGCTATTATTTTGTTTCCTATTCCTGACTCCAATATTCGACGATCTTCATTCCCATTGATAGACAATAGTCAACAAAAGCAAATAGAAGGATGATTCTATTGAACAAGCTGCAACTTCAAGATCCTGAATGTTCCAAGAATCCTAATAAATTAATTTTCAAAAAGAGGGATGTGAATGTGGCTGAGTCTAAAAAATAAACTGCAAAAACATTTTGCAATGGTAACATGCGCATCTGCTATCATTTAGACTTCTTTCCTTGCTTTTTCTTGATAATTTCATCAATATACATGATACCCTTTCCTTTGTAAACTTCGGGAGGCTTACAACTTCGGACAGTAGCAGCAAACTGATGCACTCTTTGCTTGTCAATCCCAGTACAGCAAACCATATTGTTCTTGAAGCAGAAAACGCGAACAGCAGGAGGCACGGATAGCTCAACCTCATGACTGTATCCTAATTTGAGATACAAAAGCCTCCCTTCTGCTTCAGCTCTGGCTTTGTACCCAACACCAACAATCTTAAGGAAGCGAAAGAATTTAGCTTCCATCACGATTGCAGCAGTATTACTGCAAAAGGCCCAAGATCTAGTCAATTTAGAAAGATGTTAAGCAAAGCTGAGTTGAAAATATGGTAATCATGTCAAAAGATATTAACCAATGGTTTACTGCTCTAAAAATTCTTCCTAGAGACTTCTGGTTGAGACAAGTACATTCAAATAGTAAGTTACATAATAGCTACAGCTTTTAACCCTTTCTTATTTTTTGCCGTATAGAGTAGCATGTCTTAGTTATTCGGTTACAGATACTATTTTTGGAGGGATCATCGTAACTAATACTTTTTCTTTTTAGGGGCACTCAAACTATTAAAATGAAATTAAGAGATTGTTTATCTTTGGTTTTTATTAGTTATATAAGACAATACAGACAATAAATGTAGTCTTCTTTAAATCAAAATGAAAAAAGAGGGGAGGCACCGGAGGAAGAGAGAAGGACGTTTTGTAATACGAAGTAAAACTGTATTTTCAAATAATCAGTCTCAGAACCAATCAACCAAGTCACAGCAAGAATAGAACCAAACAATGCAGAGAAAGATTTGTGAGATAAAAAATATTCAAGTGTCAAAAAGTACATTCCAGTTGACCATGATTGCATATTCTTAAATATACATGCTAAACCAAAAGCCTACAGAAGTTTAATCAGAAAATGAGAGCGGCATTTATCCAAAGCTAAAACCAGAGACCAAAGGAATTGAAAGCCTAGTAGTACAGCCCAGTTCTACATTTATAAACCCTAATTTGTCGTCTAGATTTGATAGGTCTTATATAAAGTCATCCAACACAAAGCGCAGACTGCTTCCATCAGTAA